TTCTGGATCCAGCCTCTAAGATCAGGGACGGACCCCCTCGTTAGGATTTACCCCTCTAATTAGGAATCCTCTGCCGCTCTACCAAAGGATTTTAACACTTTTTAACAAGCCTGCTTTGGAAAAAAGGGGAAATCCTTAGGCACGCCGGGAGGGTGACACAAAGGGACCCCCCCAGAGTCACCTGTGACTGTTCCAGCCTGTCCCTCTGTCCTCACCCTGAGATTTCTGCCCCTCCACGGTGGCTTTGGAAGGGATGGAGAGGTGGGGAAGGTGGATGGAGAGGTGGGGAAGGTGGATGGAGAAGGAGAAGGTGGATGGAGAGGTGGGGAAGGCGGCTGCTGTTCTGGAGGGTGTGTGGGGAGCATGGCCAGCTTTTGCCAGAGCTGGGGTGTGAAACCCATTTGGGGTTCGGCCAGAACCCACTGCCAGAACCCACCCCCCAGCGATTTTCTCCATGGGGTTTGAGCACAAGGTGACCGAGGAGGAGCCTGCTCCCCAACCCTCCCAGTGTGGCAGGTCCAAGCGGCGCTTGTGTGGTCCCCGTCGGGCCCCGGCGGAGCGAGGGCCGGGGGCGGTGGGGAGAGGGGGCGGCGGGGGGCGAGGGTTCGCCGCTGGGGCTGCTGCCCACCGCCTGAACTGTCCTCCCAGGGTCAAACTGTTCAACTTCAGCCCCTTTGCCAGACTCAATCCTACTTTACGGGAACAAAAGCCCAAAGTATGTGACGATCAAGAAATGGGAGCACAATGATTTAAGCTTATCACACGGCCCAGAAATAAAGGAGGCTGAGCTTGTGTGCGGGAGAGGGGGAGACCTTCAGAAAGGCTTTGTTTGCTGTAAGAAGATTGAACTCTGAGGCGACCCAAAAGCCCTAAAAGTTTAGGGTCTGTGTTGCTGAGAGACCTTTGGATAGAGCCCATCCACACTTCGACCTCACAAGTTGTGAGGCAGCATTAATGGCTTGCCTGCCCCAGGTGATGGGGGGGGGGGACAGGACGGGACACAAAGCTGCAGGGACAGGATGGCCTGACCCCTCCCGGCTCCTTCTCCCTCCCACCCACCGGTCCCCAAGAACCCCCAGGGGTCTCCTGAGGGGTTGGGGGAGCAGGGTTGCCCACAACCCCCCTGCATCCCAAATTTTGGGGTGCCCTACGGCAGCACCTGCAAACCCCACGAGTGGGATGGTTCTGCTCTTAAACTGGGGTCCAGAATACATCCCCTCCCAGCACGGTACTGGGATGCTCCGTGGAGGGGAGAATCCAGAGCCTGCTGTAGCGTCCCCCCCAAAAGCCAGGTCCTTCCTGACCCCCGTGAGCACACTGCAGCGAAAAGTGCTGCAGGGAGGGATGGGGACCAGCCCCCCCAACTCCC